ACAATCCTTAACACCTTTCCCTACCAATTATCATATACCATAAATGAAAGCAACAGAAATTAGACTATCGGATGCTAAAATAGAAATAGCGTAAATCTGTTAATCATCGGCTAAAGAACCACCTGATGTACGACAGTAAAATAAAGACTATAATAATCAATTATATGGAGGGTAATTATAATAATAAGGATAATAATAATAATACATTATAAGAAAGGATATCTATACTAATAAGAAATAATACATATACGGAAGTAATAACAAAGAGTAAAAATATGTAAATATTGGGACGCAGAATGTTACAGTAGTAACATACTTCTCTTCTAAAAATTCAAGCTCCTGTGAGAAACTTCAGATAGATACAAGAGTTGTTTTCAACTTCAAATCAATTAATAATCCCAGCATAAAAAAAAAATTAAATAGCACCATAATTGAATGTTGGCATTGTTACCAAAATGGAATTGGAATTCAAGATAGAGCTAATTAACGCTCGTTGCTGATCCTTATTCATCTATCACCAAAAAAGAGTTGACAACACTCAAATACCAGAGAGTACTCAGTAAAACTCTCCTAGCTCTGATATTCGAAGAATACATGATTGAATCTTCTCAGCTTCGGCAAGTGTCATCAATCTTGGGTTGTGATTAAGCAACAGAATTTTATAGAGACAAATTCTTGTTTTGACTCTTTAATATTGAGATGAGTCAGTCTCTGCTTCAGAAGACATAGATTCATCAAAAGTAGATGTGTCAGTGTCCTCTTCTGAGTCTTCTGACTTTTTGTCATCAGAGTCACAAACATCAGAGCTATTGTCAGACAAAAGGTCTTGGTCTTCGGAAGAGGTGCTAGATTGTTCAAATGAATCTGAGCTTGAATTTCGATTAACTTTCAAAATATATGCAGAGTGGCATTCGGCGGCATAATGTCCTCGTTGGTGGCAGTTGTAGCAAATGTGACATTTTTACTTCCGGAGTTGGGCGACAGAATATAAAAATCCTGTTTCTTCTCTTGGCATTCCATTAATATGGTAAGGATCATAATAGTATTGGTTTGTAGGCATTTGAGAGGCAGGATATCCATTATTATACAAAGGTGCAGGGAGGTAGTAATTTAAGGTCGAAGTTGGTTGTGATGATTGATGTTGGATTTGGAAAAGTTGTAAGTATTCTGTAAATAGTGAAACCAAGTGGATAAGCTTATAGATCATGTCATCATCCATATGATTAGAATATTTTTCCAAAATTATTAATGTGGTCCTAAAAACTGACAGGCAGATGATTCCACACAATCGGCACCAAATGTTACTATCGAAAGTTGAGAGAGCGTCAGCAAGGGCAAGTTTAAACCAGCGATAGTGAATGAAAGGGATATCGGATAGAAGATAACAATAATGTAGGACATGAAAGATACAACAATAGATGAGCAATTGTAGTTGTAATAATTATATGATAAAATAAAGAAATAGATAAATAAATAAATAAGATCGTTAAGCCATCTTAATTATAGGAATATCGGGATATATAATAACAAGACTGTGAAGATGTATTCATAATGATTCAATAATTCAATAACAGACAAATACAAAATACGATATAAATATGATTTACTCGAAAACCTTTATTTATAAAGGAGGGATACTTTAGATCTAACCTCTAAGTCCAACCTACAAGCAAAACCTACTCACAAGCAAAG